TCTGACCCATAGGTGGCAGCCATCTCAAGCCAGAGGACGAGAGCACTCTAGCCGCCACGCATATAAAGGATTTATAGTGAAAAACTTTGTTTTTACGGGTTATACTTATTTCTCGTTTCTTTTCAACATTTGCCTAGTGAAGGGACCTGAGATCTGTGAATGCCCATCCTTCAAATGCCCTGGCAAACTCCACACCACAAAGAGATTGGGAAATTAATTAAGAAATTGAGGGCGGAGTGGTTGGGGGAGGGGGTGGGTTTGGAGGTGGAATACATCAAGAGATTAAAGGTGGGGGGGGGGGGGTCACTTTCTCACTGATCATTTCTCTTGGTTTGAGGTGCGTGACCTTCTGTGTTGGTACATCCTCCGGTTACTAATTAGCTTGGAGAGAGCCAATCGATTCGACTCAGTTGCTGTTTGCAGCGGAGAGTGGGGGAGGCCCAGGGTTGAACGTTCGCATCGTTTACCGAGGAGATGCTAGCAGAGCGCCCGGAAGATTTGTGGGAATATTTTTTTCGTTTTTAATTGTAAAAACACCCCCGTTGCTTGCACTGGTTCATCAATATTTTGTCAGACGGTCCATTAAAAAACCAAAAAAACATTCTTGATGCTAATGAAAGTGAAAATTGACGTCTTTACCAACCCACCACCAACCCATTACCGGATGAATCCGTCAGCAGTCATGGGGCTTGATTTGACCATACTTCACCACGCCGACTTTGTGCGGGTTGGCGCAAGAGGGTAGGCCAGGAGACCGGCTCAGATGCCACTTGGCCGCACGCGTTACCAGAATCAGCAGTTTTATTTCTCCAATGAGTAAAGCCCATTGAGTTGAGAGAGGCCTTTTTTTCCAAGAGCGACTCAATCGGCAGACATCAGCTGCGGACTGGGATCGAGCCTGGGTCACCGGGTCTGGTGGAGGTGCATTGCCCCAGCCGCTGCTGCATGTCTCTCGCTCAACGAATGTAAATAGCACAAGTCGTTGGTTACAACAGAAAAATGCTCGCGTGCAAAGAGCCGTAACTAATTATGCATTTGAAAAAGTAGCCTCCACGGCACTCTGAATAATGCGTCAACAATGAAGGCTAGACTAATGCTGTGAATGTGACTCGCCCGATGACAGTTTTAATATAACAAACGTGATTTAATCCCCCCCCCCCCCACTCAAAAACAATGTGAAGTCGTTCGCGATGCCTTCCATGTTATGGGATAAGTGCTGTGTAATTTAATGTTTTTAATGGCAGAATTAATTCCATAATGTATATCTATCTCTTTTTTTCCGTGCGGTGACTAATGTCATGGATTGCCCGCCTTTGCAGTGCCGTACAATGTGGCATTGTCGTTTCATGGCAGGGTCATCGCATCGACAACCACACAATAAAACCCACTCGGATCGTCCAAATTTTCACCTTTCCACCTACTCCCACTCTCCGGATATAGTGTGGCTCAATAATTAAAAACGGAATAAATAAATAAAACGATGTGTAATTCAATGGCTTCAATAGCACACAAAAGAGAGGGGGGAAATAATATAGACTGCAGAGGTCGTGCCTGCTGCTACTGCTGCTGTTGTTGCGTCAGTCGGCCGTTCGGGTCGGTCAGCTGATGGTGAGAGAATCGGTCTCGCAACCGCCCGGGACGGTTGTGTATAAATGGCGGCGCTAACCGCATTACAAAGCCTCCGCACGCTCGCCGCTCGCGTTTGTCCTCCCTGCCCCCCATCACCGCCGCAGCCACCGCCAGCGCCGAGGAGACCTTAGCATTCACGGCACGGGCGGCGTTTCACGTAGCGCGCGCGGTTTCCCCCCCCCACCACCACCACCACCATCGCTCTGGCTCGCTCCCCCAACTTCCACTCGCCGCACGCACCCTCCTGCTGCGCTCCTAATCGCTGCTGCCAATTTTAGCAGCCGGATACAGAATGCACTGCTGCGGTGACCGGAGAAGGGATGGGGGGGGGGGGATACTTATTGCCGTTGTAATAATGCGAACGGTTAATGTTGTCGTGAATAACTAAGAGAAACGAATTCACTTCCTCTTGCGCCGCCCGGGAACGTCTGCGGGTGCCTGCGTCGCCAGCGCGAGATGAGTGGCAAAAGTGGCGTTTTGTAATTCCGTGCATTTGGTGGCGGCGGTGTTGCCGCGCTTTGACTGCTCGCGCGCCCCAACGCAAAATTCCACCCGACGCAATTACACGCAAACTCGCGTAAACACGCAACACGCGTGTGTGTAAACGCGCAACACGTGTACGCGTAAACACAAGCACGCGCAGATGTGCACACAATGAGTTTTATACAAACGCAAACGTGCAGTTGTATATAACTGCAAGCTTGCAGTTTTGTACACGCAAAGAGACAACGATTTCCCATATAGCCGTAACAGACTTGAGGGGCAAGTGCTGTTTGTGAGTACCTGATTACGGCCGCCACTGTATACTCGAGGGGGTGGTTGGTCAACACCACGCCCGGTCGCCTTTGTCTCCCCAGTGCTGATGTTTCCACGTCGCACCAAGTACTCGTTTAAGGCTCGAGTCGTACTCTGGGGAGGCTCAGGATGAGTTCAGATATTCACCATCGATGTTGACCATGAGCGAGAATCGAACTCTGCTCGCCGGGATCGTAGTCTAGCGCAACGCAAACCACTGCACTTAGCACACCCCGCTACAAACGCAAGATACACACGTCCTCGGAGTTATAGACATATGCCTATTTCCATCTACGCTATATACAAACACGAGCCTGTAATTATATATAATCACGAGCGTGCATAGACGCACAGTTTATATACCAATTCAAACCTGCGTAACTGTGTACCCGCGTAACAATTATAGGCAAAACACAAGCGTGCAATGTACACGCGGAACACTTTGGCGCAACGTAAAACGTTTGCCGGGATTGCGTTTGAGACGCCCGAAGGCTGCGAACGCCATCGGTGTCACAAAAAATCTTCTTCCCCAGCTCACGCAAGCCAATTACAGTGGTAACGAAAATGTGACTTGCAGATTGGCACGGTGAGCATTGCCAGAACGCCACCAGCCCTTTGCCGCTCCACACCACGCCCAGAGGGACACGTACAGGATGCACGCGCGTCTGATTGCCAATTCGTTACTTTGGGGTCAGAACGCTGTGTCGTGCATAATGTAAAAACATTTTTTTTACTATAAACCCTCCACCACCCGACACAGGTGATCAAATTGAGTTGTCACATCACGGGCAAAAATTCGCCAGTTGATTTATGTTTTTTCGGCGAACCGGAAACGTTGAAAAGCGAGCGGTGTTTTGGCAATTTCGTCCAACATTGCGCTGGAAATTTCATCGACCTTCTTCATCGGGTGTTCACAAAAGCTCAGCGCCTCGCGTGCATCCACAAGGCACCTGCATTGTGGGCAGTCGGGGGCTCGGTGGGCTGTGGGGGTGGGGTGTGGTTTTGGGGGGGAGGGGGGAGGGGGGAGGGCTTATCAGGGGGAGAGAAACTCCCACATGGTGAGCGCTCAGTGTCAGTGAGCCACCGCGAGGTTTTGTTCGTCGGCTAGCGTGCAGTGCAGCGTGCAGCCCAGCGTGCACCACCCTGGTGGATCAAGTTTATGAAAACCCAAACTAATTATAATCTCACAGTAACTCCCCCGTTCATTCATATTGATATTACAGGTAATGTGGGCATTGCTCGGGAAGGTCTTGCGTTGACCGTTTAGCGATTAGGCGATGACGCGGGAGGTTCGTGTGTTCTTCAGCAGCCAGACCCAGCACTGTAAGTCAATGCACCACAGGGCATGAAGCCTAGCGGCGATTGTTTCTAAATCGTAAAAAAAAAAACATTTTCACACTCGTAAATAAGCCAAGTGTTGATTTATTTAAATGCATACAAAAATAAAGAGAAAATAATAATTCGAGTCCATCGCTTGTTACTGGACATCTGTGAAAGAGAGCTTCGTAGATCACCGGATTTCTCCAGGATAAAGATTCTCGTTCTGCTTACAGACCAAACCTCAGTCGGCGTTTTCACCGAAGCGTGGACCCACGGGTTACCACGTCTCCTCCTCGTTGCGTAGTTTGCCTGCGCTTGTGTTTGTAGTGTCCGCGGCACTCTTGTGCCACAGCGGCGCCCCTCATTCCCAGGCAGTTTTTCTCACACGAGGGATGATTTTTTAAAAGGGCCTTTCTGATTAAATGAAGGCAACGACTGAACCGAACAAATTGCCTGCAACCAAATCATCACCTCCGAGTGCACCACAATATCCTCAGATCTCGGAAGCTCAGCCGAGTTGAGCCTGGCTTATTGCTTTGATGCGAGGACTGCCTGGGAATACCGGGCGGTGCGAGGTAGTCGGTAGACGGCCGTATTGCAGCGGGGGGACTCTCTAAAGCAGGGGGTGGGGAACCTTTCCTCTGCCAAGGGCCATTTGGATATTTATAAACTAATTTGCGGGCCATGCAAAATTATCAACTTAAAAATTAGCCCGTTATATTTGGTCAAACATTTAATTAACCCGCCCCTAATGCGATGGCTGGAACTGCTTCTCATTGGCGAGGCGCGTGATGTTAGCTGGTATTTATGATGTTGCTACTCGCAGCTGCTTTTCCAGGTTTGCGCCTAGATTTATTGAATTTCGAGTCCCGCCTACGATTCCCTTGGCAGGGCCACACCAAATGATTGTGTGGGCCTTATACGGCCCGTGGGCCGGACGTTCCCCACCCCTGTTGTAAAGTATACCTGTGTGGAGCTCTTGAGTGCTGTTACCCCCCACCCCCCGCCCTTCACACACAGAGTTCCAGTTTTCTCCCCCGTGCCAAACGTGCATTTTGATGGAATTGGCCAAACATCCCAGTGCAGTTCCCTCCTGTAAAAAGAATCATCAGACTCGGGCGATGCTTTACTGGGTAAACAAATGACGGCGACCATCGTTGTTTGCCGACGTTGTTATTGATCACGATCGATTGATTGTTTTCTTGTCCCCCCCCCCCCCAACTCTGCTCTCCCTCGTGCCCACGTGCGGTGCGCAGCTCTCGTTGAAGTGCAGGGCACCCGAAGTGTCTCAGTACATCAGCCAGGCCTACGACACGGTGCTCAAGAGCTGAGTCTCGAGCGCATCGTGACCGTGCAACCCTGGCCAGTCGTCGTTGTCGTCCTGCCCTCCTCCACCCCCGCAAACTCCACAACCTCCTCTACCCCCCCCCCCCCCAAAGACTCTCCCCACCTCGTTCACCATTCCAGCGCTTCAGCGTCGTCGTGTCTCGCCCCCCCTCCCCTCGCACGCAACACAGAGGGGGGCGCTGCCCGCAGCTCGTCAGCACCCACCCCATGCCCCCCCCCCTCCACGCTTCTCCATACGGAGCACGGTGGGGGGGGGGGATAGGGACGAGCGAGGGCGCCGCCGTGAGGGTAGGGGGGCTCCTGCAGCACACTCCGCCCGCCCCCTGCCCCTGTGACGTTAAGCTCCTGTAAAGTAAACTTTGGTGTTTTCGGTTATAAATGTGAAGCACTTTGGAAATGTTGTGCTCCCGTCAGGGCCGTGAACGGTGTGTATATGTGTGTGTGTACGTGTGGAATGCTGGACCCAGTCGCTCCTCTCCCTCACGCATGCTTGCTCTTGCTCCTTGCCCCCCCCCCCACCACCATGCCTGCCTTTCCGGGGCCGGGTCCACACCTTGGCGATCGCGCAGCTAAATCTCTCTGGCAAATGTCGTGCAACATCTGGTGCCGCTGTGGCCTATGTTGCCGCCTCGGCCGCCGCCGCCACTCTCTGTCCGCGTCTGAGCGAGCGGTTGCGCAACTGAGGAAATTCGAATCGGAATCTTAACTTGGAGGAATCCAGTGAGCTCTGAAGCTCCTTTTCACAGATGTCCAGTTTGAAGCGGCGGCCCGTCGCTACAAATCGGCGAGCGGATCGATGGCTCAAAGTCAATTCTGGTCGTCAACCGTGAGCAGCAAGCGGTCTGCGCGACAGCTCGCAATTTGTTGCGGAGACGTCCACGTGCGAGCGATTTTCAGTCACGTGCCACCAAGGTGGTTGATCGCTCAGGCGGGGACCTGGCTTGGTCTCACAACTGGACCCCTTTTCCGGTGACCTTTGTCCCCCCCCCCCCCCCCCCGCTGGAGGCTTCTCGCGTACCTGCGTCGCAACCCCTAACTGGAGGGGTCTGTTGTATAAAAAAAAAACATGCAAGTGGAATTATCCGACGATTTGTTCTCTTTATCAGCATCATTATCAACCATCTTTCCACTGCCGGATCAAGGCCTCCCTCTCTACGTGTACAAGTTAAACGGGAACAAAGATACGCGTGCGGTGTTTCTGTGCAACAGGCCGCAACCGCCCGATTGCATCTCACCACGCCAATCCACTTTTCTCCCGCCTAACCGCACCACACCTAACGTCACTGCAGTAGAGCCAAACAAACCGCAATGCAATCGCTTTGCACCCTGGCGTACCTTCGCCGGTCTCACCGTGCGTTGTGCCCCCCCACCTCCCCTATCGAGCGTCGCTCTTGCCTAGCCTGTAGCCGCAGTTACACCCTCCCGCATATCCTCCCCCCTCGCCTCCCTCACTGTACCTTCACGCATCAAGCACCGTCTCGGCCGTAAGCGGCATATTGCGCACGTAACCTTGAACCCGCCGCATGCATTCGTGTCTCGCATGCCCACCCCTACCGCCTTCAAACCCACCCACAGTCTGACCGCTCCACGCCACGTTTCCCCTGCACCGAACCTCGGCACACCGAGAGCCCTCTTGCAGCGCGTGCTGCATTGCGTATAACCGCGGAACACCTCCCCGAGGAGCTCCCACCTCGCCTAACGTCGCCTTCACCGACACGCTTTGCAACTCTCGGCCCTCCACCCCACATTTTACACACCTCGCCTCACTCAGCCCCAACTCCACCACCTCGATTTACCCCACAGTGCTGCCGGCTGGCGGAACCAGTCGGTACGCGGAGGTGCGCCGCTCGCCTGTGAACGTACGCGCACACGCGCGGAGATTGCGCGTGTTCGTGAAATTACAATCAGTATATCACGTAGAGTACGGAATGTCGCGGAGGGAAAGTCACGGAGGTGACGACGCCCCATGCTACAGTGTTGCCGTCCACCCATGATCGTAATCGTCGTCGTCAACACCGGCGTCGTGGTTGTGTTGGATGCTGTTCTCTATTTGGTGGGTGCTCCGACACGGAAACGTCTTTTTTTTGTTTGTTATTATATGAGTACACACTTTAATTTGTTTTTGTCCTGCCTGAAATCAATTGTCATCTGTTGAGAATATTTTATCATGATTCCCACCGATGCAGCGATTGTGAGTGCGTGTGTGGCTGGCCCGTGTAAATGAAAATGACTTAATTACCTCTCTCATCCAATTCGCTCCCTATTCCATCCACGATGGCTCGCCGATTCGTCTCCTCCGCGGCTGTTAGCTTTCAGACGCGCGCTATTAATAAAGGTGAAACGTGAAGATATTTGTATCACCTTACTATGACTTACAACAACAACAAGCGCACTATTACCCGTTACACTAACATTTGTTACTCGTAGGCCATCAATGCTGTTGTACAATTAGCTTGATGCTAAATCACTGTATATTAAATGTGTCAATATTACCCACAGGGCTCTGTTGTGTCTCTCTCAGCGCGGGAGTCGTAATGATCGCCCTGGCGGCTACAAACACGTAAATTGCAATGCATCGGTGTGCAATTCCACCACGCGGGAGTGGATAATCTTACACATTAGTGCGTTTCAGAATTTGTCCAACACGCACAAAAACAGCTTTCCTTTTCATCATCACGTTATTTGGTGATGCTGCTGCTGGGTTGGCAGTGGTGGCACAAGCACAATTAACAACAACAACACGCCCAACGCACTCGCTCTCCAACACCATTGTGTGGCCTGCAAATGAAAAGTGTCCGAAATCTAAATTTGAAGTTTCGTGACTGCAATGATCCATACTCTTTAGTTCTTTCGGTAAAGTCACGTAGGTATAACCAACACCATCTAGCGAGTGAATTGGAACACGTACACCAGGCCCTTAAGTAGAATGGATATTCGGACCGCATTATCCGCAAAGCTGTTTCTCCAACCATGGAGAAACAACCCCTTGAGACCAGGGGCGGTTTCTTCATTAGGGCGATTGGGCGACGCACCACCAATGTCATTCAACCACAGTCACGCTAGCCGTCACTGTCAGCCTCTGGATATAGTCCAATCAGCGTCATGTCACGTTCTGTGGAGTACCGCCTCTTTTTGGGCGATTTCACTCCGGCTGAGAATCGCCTCGAGTGGCCCCATAGACTTACATTGAAAGATGTTTTTTTTTCTAACGGGGGCGCTCCAATGCATTCTCTATGGCTTCCGGGAGGGCATGCACTAACGTGCTTACGTCATCATACGTGCTAACGTCATCATACGTAAGCACGTTTCATCCAACAATATAATTTATCGCCACCTAGTGGAATCTTTAATAAAATAAACTTGAGTGGTTTCTTTTAATATAGAGTATAGAAACAAACAAGATGTATTGTAAGAGTCACTTTATTTTTCATTAATATTAAAGAAGTGAAGTTGCCTTTACATGCTTAAGCTGTTAATTTATCCATTGCATGGGTGGACCTTATCCTTATCAATCATCCAGACATTTGCCCCCCCTGAGAGATTTTGCAGGAGCCGCCACTGCTTGAGACCCCGATTAAAACCATCACGTTACCATACATAGCAGGCGTTACCAAAAAGATTTCCAAAATCTTAAACAATCGCAAGATCCAGGTCCGATTCGGTACAGTACACAAAATCCGTGATCTAATCTCATCCGTAAAGGATGTAATTCCTGACTTGCAATACCCTGAAGTCTACAAGCTCCGTTGCATTTGTGGTGATTGTTACATTGGGGAAACGAAACGACATGTATCGGACCGTATTCGCGAGCACAAGGCGGATTTGAAACATGGCAGAACTGGTTCTTCCGCCGTAGCTGATCACTGCTACAACGCCGTGGGCTCTCATGATATTGTTACTGGTAGGAACCTCCTGGTTACACCAGACCACAGGGGATTATTCTGTCCGTCCGTCGTGCAGGGAAGGGCTGGGTGGGGAGGCTGGGCTGGGTGGGGAGGGGCTGGGTAAGGAGGGTGGGGCTATATTCAACGTTTAACCTACTCACGCTGGCTTGTGCCCGCCCTCAGTCGGGCATATTTGCGGGAATACACCACGCCGCCGTTGACCCTGACCATTGACCGAGCAACCCAACGTTCCTACCAGCTCCCTCCGCAGGAATGTGTTTCCGAGACCAAGTTACTCTGCAAACCGTCAGGCTACTATCATTGATTTGTTCATGAAGCCATCCAGAATTATATAAATACAGACATAACTTCAACCGAGAGGATGGATTCAAATTGAGCAATCATTGGAAGGATGTTATTAACCAGGTGAAATCTTAGTTGCTTTGTAGTTTCTTTCATACCCGTATCTCCAGTCTCTTCAACACTCTACTACCACCCCCCCAGAGCCGCTCGGTACACCACTCCGGCATTGTGTCACACCGGCGGTGTCGTTTACCAGGTGGCTGAGCCCCCCCCTACCCCCACCGCCCCCAGCATCTCTCCCAGCTCCGGCATTGTTTGCACCAGCCGTGTTGAGTACCAGGTGGTTGATGCTCACTCAACCCGCCCTCCCCTCCTCCCCCCCCCCCCCCCTCGCCCTCTACTTCTCTCCCCCCTGGCTCCTACCCCCTCCCCTCTGGCCTTAGCAAATTATTTCTTGCTGTGGCTGTCCCACCTGGTGACGGAGGCTTGTGTTGCTTCCGAAACGTCGTGATTTGATTTATTTTGAGTCCGTTTTTTTTTTTTATACCTACGTGACTTTACCGAAAGAACTAAAGAGTAAGTGTACAAAACAGACCGCTTTCCTTGTTTTACAACAGAGGTGGGGAACGTCCGGCCCGCGGGCCGTATAAGGCCCGCGAAATCATTTGGTGTGGCCCTGCCAAGGGAATCTCAGGCGGGACTCGAAATTCAATAAATCGAGGAGCAAACCTGGCAAAGCTGTTGCGAGTAGCAACATCATCAATATCAGCTCACATCACACGCTTCGCCAAAGAGAAGCAGTTCCAGCCATCACATTAGGGGTGAGTTCATTAAATGTTTGACCAAATTTAATGGGCAAATTTTTAAGTTGATAATTTGTATGGCCCGCGAATGATGTTATAAATATCCAAATGGCTCTTGGCAGAAGAAAGGTTCCCCACCCCTGGTCTACAAAGAGGATTGTTTGGGGTCAGGGCATCAAACCGATTGGTGGAGAAATGGACACGTCAAAGGCAGGAGACGAGGGTGGACTGTCGGGGTCACGGTTGACAACCATTGGAGGACGAGGATGGGGTGATGGAAATGGGGGGTGAGCGAACCTTCGAGAAAGGGGGGGGGGGGGAGAAATATGAAAGGGGATGATCGCACAAGGGGAAGAGATGGCTTTGAGAGAACACGGAGTTCGGGCCTCAAGATGAGTGTTGGTGTTCACAGTGAAGGCTCTTCGTAAAACAAGAACCTTGCAACTCCTTATCAGTGCCCTGCCTTATTACAGGCCAATTCAGACCTTGCTGGTTAAGCCGTGTCCCTTATAAATCTCAACGTTCATCCTACAAAGTCCCGTCACAAGAGGGAGAAACACAAATAAATAGACACAAAAAATATGGGGGGTGGGGGGGGGGTGTCCGCATTAAAACGGCTGTACACCGGATGGACTTGAAAACTCAATTTTATTTTATTTTACTTTTATTAATGTTAATGTTTTACCTACGTGACTTTACCGAAAAAACCTAAGAATATGAATCCTTGCAGTCACGAAAGCTTCAAATCTAGAATAAACTCAATTTCCCTGGACAAGCATACGGGCTAAAGCGGATGGGTTGACAGCTTTGCGAGTATCGTGCGTCATTATGCAATGTGTTCACGTGACCCCGCCAGGCGCTAGAGGCCGCTACTCTTCTCCGCAATAAAACTACATTATACGCATTTTTTGTTTAATCCCATGTGGGTGCCCGAATCGGATTTCCATCATCACACCCTAAGTAAATAGGATTCTACTCGACGGCGATCTTCATGCATGTGTCGTGGTTATTTATGCACGCGCACACGCGCACTACATTTACACTGATATGCGGGATTATGTGTATCTAGGGTATTTATTATTGAAGGTGGGTGAGGATGGGAACTATTAACTAGAGAGCAGGTCGGAGTGGCTTTTGAAAAAAATAAAAGAACGCGATAACCATAAGCAACATTCCATAGCGTCGAATCAAGGTCATCACGAGGCAGTGAACGTAACCCGCTGTGACGGCATGGATCGGGTAAACGATTGACAGTGACGAAGGGCATGGCACAGTCGCTGAAAAATAAAAGCGTGGAGAGAGAGAGAGACACGCCGCGACTAGCACTGAAGAGACAGCAGCAGCAGCAGTAACGCGTGGTCCTGAGGACAGGCGCAGCTGAGAGACAATCACATGAACTCTTACTGGTAGGAACCACCTGGTTACACCAGCCCACAGGGGATATTGTGTCCGACCGTCCGTCGTGCAGGGAGGGGCTGGGTGGGGAGGGGTCGGGTGGGGAGGGGAGGGTGGGGAGGGGCTGGGTGGGGAGGGTGGGGCTGGGTGGGGGGTGGGAGGGGTGGGGCTGGGTGGGGAGGGGCTGGTCACCCCGTGGTGCCCTTATAAAACTCAACGTTTAACCTACTCACGCCGGCTTGTGCCCGCCCTCACAGTCGGGCATATTTGCGGAATACACCACGCCGCCGTTGACCCTGGCCATTGACCGAGCAACCCAACGTTCCTACCAGCTCCCTCCGCAGTAATGTGTTAAGGGGAGTGGTATTGGGTATAGCACACATCATGGCCGGAATAAATGATGGCCCAGACTGGTGACAGATGGCGATGACTTGGGAAGGTCTTCATCTAGCAGTGGATAGATAACGGCCGTTGACAAGAAGCATATGTTCGTCTGCAGCTTGTGTAGAGACGCACTCAACACCCCTTGTCCTGCAAGTGAATGGGTTATGAGTTCACATCCAGGCGAGTGGATGACTGCCCGTCATCCTTCCGTGGAGTGTCACAGTAGTCAGCAGTGGTTGCTCTGTGGTTACGCCGGTCCCCGTCAGAGTAATGTGGAATTTGCACCACTAGGCCGTCCAGCCACCAATCAGAGATGTGCGACGTGCAGTGCTGATGTTTTGCACCTGCGATTATCACGGTTGGCTGCGTACGGTGCGAAAGAAGTTCAACACGCACTTGGCCTTGGGGAGAGTCTGAGAGATTCACGTGTAAATAGCCATGATCAATCTACTGCTGGATGAAGGTCTCCCCAAGCGTACAGACATACACAGGTTAGAGACGTGCTTTTGACTGTTCAGAAAGCGACTTGACTCGGGCAGGATAAGTCGTTGGAAGGAACGTGGTCCTGTGGGTCAGCGCGCGCACACGTTTGCCCAAGCTCTGGTCCTCTATAAAGATGTTTCTATAAAGATGTTTACAGCCAGTTTTTGAGTGCGTATACGTGTGGGAGGAAACGGAAGCAACCGGGGAAGAAAAAAACAGCTCGCATGGGAGGGGTGCAAC